GCGTGCATTTGTCCTGTCCGATGGTCTGATCGGCGATGATGACGCCGGCAAATACTGGGTGTCATGTCCATACCACAAGCGTAATTTCGAACTCAATGGCGAGCAAGCTGGCCGTTGCTCAAACGATGAGGCTATGAATATCGCAACTTTCCCGGTTGAAGAACGGGACGATGGTTGGATCTATCTGAAGTTACCTCCCGTCGAAGAGCTGGACTCCGTGCTGGGGACTAAGCGATGGAAGGTGAAGAAAGGAGAGGCACCCGATCCATTCCAGAAGTGTGATAAGAAGTACAAGGGAACGAGAGGCAAGAAGGCGGGTGATAGGCCTAGCCCGACCAAACAATCTAAGACGATTGACTGGTAATGGAACCAATGTGCTACGCGTTACGAGCTTTAATATCTGGCGTTGTGGATCTTGCTGGCAGGGCCATCGTCTGTTTTTTCCCCTTCTACTGTATCTAAACTCAACTAGCTAGTAGTTAATTCATGAACTGTGAACTACCAACTATCTTGTTCCATTCTATAATGAAGTAGCCATACTGGACCTTATCCTAACGAGAAATGGATGACCATAGTCCTGACTATTCGCCCGGACTATTCCGCTATTACAGAATGGTCTATAGACGATACTCGTGGACACTTAGAGGTATAGCCAAGAAAGGTATCAAAGGGCCTCTACCTTAGGGCAGGCAATGTCACGTTACCGACCAACTTTGTGGCCGACTCACCGTCCAATCCTATTTGGCGGATTTCATTCTTGACGCTTATCTCTTAGACGTGAGATAGCGGTGGACCCGACCCAAATCTCTCATTATCTATACTCATGAGAGTATCCGGGACCCATAGGCGATCCTTCACAGCCCCATCGGATGCTTTAAGAAGTGGGCTCTCCCCTTGACATCTCCGCGGACCTCGAACGAGTGTGTTTCGCTATTCTCGTTCTCTTCGTTGCCTTGGCCCGGGAAGATTAGGGACATGAACGTTGACCCAAAGTTCATGTGGCGCTCCTCCTGAGTCTCAGCATCTAGCGGTATCCAATGAGAAGCGCTTGGTTTATCAATTGAAAGAGAATCTCGACGGTGTCGATCTTGGTCCATGCTTCCTCGCCTTCGGGGCGCCATGGTCTGTGTCCGAGGGTGATACATGGCACCCAGACCTCGAGGCCGCGGAGATATTGCAAGACAGAGAGGGTCTTATCGGCCTGGTGCTGTTAGTCAAGGGCTAAATGCCGGCAGATATCCACCACATGGCCTTATCTACGCTGATCAAATGTTGGTTCTCGATTAGCCACACCCGTTAGGCTGGGGAGGCCCAGTCCCATCCGACGGGACCCTTACTTTTGTCCACATCGAGACACTGGACAGAGCCATGAGCACCGTCCAATCAAAGCTCCGAGATATACTTGCTTCTGTGACTCCATGATATCCTATCTATCACCCTTGCAATTATTAGCCAAGGGATGTCATATTACAGCAATATCTAATCTAGCTTTTCTATGCTGTCAGTGGCATACCGTGCTACAACTCCTATGACTTCAAAAAGTTAATTATTCCTGGACATCCAAGATCTATCGATATCAGATCATATATGCTATTTTTGCTTTTGCTTACACTCATCAATGTCTGTCAAAGAGTCTATATATGAGATCTAATTCCCTTAACTAGTGCATTCCAAACCGCATCTCAACTTGTGAACACACCCTGGTGGTGACATTGATATCCTACACCTATAGTTATTGATACTCTGTACAACCATTCTATCTGTTCTCTTTTAGCTTCATTCCACTTGGGCCATTAGCTCAGGGATGGATTCCATTAATCTACTCTTTGTCTCTCCAGAGGTCAACCCAAGTAACCGAAAGGCCAGGTCGATCCCGATACTCAACCCATTTGACAAATATGGACGAGTCTACTTCTTCTCCTGGCTGGGATTCATGGTTGCATTCCTATCATGGTATGCATTTCCGCCTCTAGTAAGTTCTGTCGACTTTCGATGCCCAGCATTGTGTAAGAGAAAGCCCTAACCATCTGTAGTTGACTGTCACAATCCGAAAAGACTTGAACATGACGCAGGCTGAAGTTGCCAACTCAAACATTGTTGCTCTTCTAGCGACGTAAGACATCCAGATGAATGGATCCAACATTCTAGCTGACTACTTCAGGTTACTTGTTCGATTCATTGCAGGGCCGCTCTGCGACCGTTTTGGCCCGCGCCTAGTATTCATTGGCCTTCTACTCTGTGGCTCTATCCCAACCGTGATGGCCGGGCTTGTCACCAATGCCCAGGGACTGATCGCCCTACGCTTCTTTGTCGGCATCCTGGGAGGCACATTCGTCCCTTGCCAGGTCTGGTGTACTGGGTTCTTTGACAAAAGCATCGTCGGAACCGCCAACTCCCTGGCTGCAGGATGGGGAAATGCTGGTGGCGGCATCACATAGTATGTACTTTTCTCGCAGAAGAAGCCCGCAAACAGCCAACTAACAAGCGTTTCCGCTCGCCAGCTTCCTAATGCCCGCCGTCTTCGACTCACTCGTCCACAACCAAGGCCTCCCAGCCCATAAAGCCTGGCGAGTGGCCTACATCGTGCCCTTTATCATCATCGTCGCCATAGCCGTCGCAATGTTCTTCACCTGTGAAGACACCCCAACAGGGAAATGGTCCGAACGCCACCTCTGGGCTGAAGAGAGCAGCGGATTCAACGGCAACATCGTCGAAATCAACTCCGGCATCTCTTCCAGCCATCCATCCAGTCCACCCTCGGCGACCAACATCGTCGCAGACATCGAAAAGAAAGGAAACCCCTCCCCACCCGAGTCCATAGCCCCAATGCCAGGCCAGCTCGAAGCCCTCCGCACTGACACCGTCGTTGCCCCGACCTTCAAAGAAACCATGAACGTCCTCCTCAGCCTCTCCACCGCCGCCGTCGCAATCCCCTACGCCTGCTCCTTCGGCGCCGAGCTCGCCATCAATTCCATCCTCGGCGAATTCTACGCCGAAAACTTCCCCTACATGGGTCAGACCAAGACCGGCCAGTGGGCCGCCATGTTCGGCCTTCTTAACGTCATCTGTCGCCCCGCTGGCGGCTTTCTCGCAGACCTCCTCTACCAGCACACGCAGTCCGTCTGGTCGAAGAAGATCCTCCTCACCTTCCTGGGCATCGCAATGGGCGCCTTCCAGCTTGCGCTCGGTCTCTCAGATCCAAAAAGCGAAGCCACCATGTTCGGACTCACTGCCGGCCTCGGTTTCTTCCTGGAAGCATGTAACGGAGCCAACTTCGCCGTTGTACCTCACGTCCATCCCTTCGCCAACGGTAAGCTTTCCTTTCTTCTTTCCCACTCACATATTCCCTCCCTCCAATCCCCATCAAACAAAACCAAAACTGACAATAAATAAAGGAATCGTCTCCGGCGCAGTAGGCGGAATGGGCAATCTGGGGGGCATCATCTTCGCCATCATCTTCCGATACAATGGCACACACTACGCGCGCTCGCTATGGATAATTGGAGTTATTGCCATCGCAGCCAATATGGCTGTTTCATGGATTCGGCCGGTGCCGAGACGTCAGATGGTATGATTCTATGCAAGGTTTCTTTTTCTGGATATGAGTTATGAGGGTAATATGGTAGTAATTATTTTTTTTTCCCTCGGAGTATTTGGCGGTATGGTGTATTCAAGGGCTGGATATAAATAGCGTTTGATAATATTAATACAATGGATATATAAATTGAGTTTCAGGGACCTATATGTTGTGAAAGTATAGTTCTAATATAATGCTCTAGTTCCACTGATATGTAGTGCTGTGTAATTAATGTAGTGTAGTATATAGTGTAGCATGTCGTCTCTATACACTAAATCTCGGGCTAAAACCCCCCGAGAGTGGATTCCAATGCATCAATCAAAGAACATGTATAATTTATCAATAAACCGAAGGCCCTCTTTTCTTAACCTTATAATATCGGCTTCCTCCATCCTCACTCGGATACATTGAAACACTACAATCCAACTACACTAATACTACTACGCAATAGAACCATAGCCAGGTATGTCACTTCTTCTTCCACTATTACCTACAATACCGACCCAAACTAAAACCCCACGAACCAGACCACCTTCCAGTCCCCGACTATAAACTAAACACTGCGAGTTCCAACAGCTACGCCCCCACGGATAAAACAAGAAAAATGCCCGTCCGAAGAATCGCCCAGATAGTCCACCTGAAGCCGTCTGCCCTGGCAGCCTACAAAGAATGCCACGCGAATGTGTGGCCCGAGGTGCTGCAGCAGATTAAGGAGTGTAATATTCGGGATTGTATGCAGTTGACCCCGATTTTGGGAAGTGGGGATTGTGGCTAATGTGTATGCTTGGGTAGATTCGATCTTCTTTGATAATGATCGGACTTTGTTCGCGACGTTTAAATATGTCGGGGATGATTTCGAGGGTGATATGGAGAAGATGAAGGCCAATCCTAAGGTGAGGGAGTGGTGGGCGATGACGGATGGCATGCAAGAGAGTCCGACTCCTGGGGCTGTGGGCAGTGCTGAGGGACCTTCGTGGTGGAAGCCGTTGGAGGAGGTTTTCTATACGGATTGAAAGAAGGAACTTGAATCTTTACGATGCACACCACGAGATTAATGCTTGATAAATGCTATTTCCATCGGCGGGACCAGGTCAACCGCTGCTAGAGCCGAGATTAATTAAGCCAACGCCAGACGCAGAAGATTCGTAGCTAGATATTTTCCAAAGATTTCCAGACAATGACCAGCAAATCCGGATTCCCCCAAGAAATTCACTATCCAGACTCCGTATCCTTGCCGGCACATGCTCCAAATGCTATGATACAGGAACGAGTAAGAAGGATATGAAGGGTATCAGCACCAGGAAATTCCGTCGCCGCCCAAGAGCCGCTCCAAAACGCCCTGTCAAGAGAACAAAAGGATATGGAAAGGAAACTGTCGTAGCTCGTTAAGTAGAAACCGGAACATAACTGACTAGGTAGTCAGCTACTCCCCAGGGGCAGGACCTCCGGGCACATCCTTCAGGATCTCCCATCCGTACTCCTCCTCTGGTCTCTCCGGCTCCATACCAAGAGCGTTGCGGTAGGCTCGGACTTCGTTTTGGAGCCCAGTCACGACGCGGATTGGCACATTCTCTTCTTCACATCGAATACGATAGGCAGTACGAATCATCTCTGCACATTTCATGGTTTGGTTATGCCAGTGATCACGCTCCAGGCGGCTCTGCAGATGCGCATCCCGTTCGTTTTGGAGAAGATTGTTGTAGTGCCGTTTCTGCGCCAGATACTGCAAGTTGTTGTTCTGGCAGTAGTTACGGATCTGTTCAACCATTGTACCGACTGCCTGTTCGTAATCCCCGATGAGCTTTGTGTTTTCCACCTGTTCGTTTCGCAAGACCTCATTCAGGCGCTTTTCTCTGGCCAGGGCGCGCTCCAGTTCGGTTATACGGGCAGCTGTGGGTTTCGTCAGTGGCTGAAATGTGCAAATATGGAGGTGGAGACTCAAGATTCTTACCGGAGATCTCGCCATTAACATGCTGCAAGCTTGGGGAGGTACCTTCCGAAGCAGAGCGTCGCTAGATAATCGTTAGCTAGATGCTACGAAAAGTGCAATGCGACCAAGGTTCGCGCTAGACATACCATGACCTCCTCAGCGCTGGAGACGATACTCTGTGTCATCTGGCGATTGTTCTTCAAAACTTCGCTCAGTTCCAAGACCATGTCGTACAGGTGATGGAGATCCATTTGGTGACCAGCATTCAGAGGAATTCCCGCGTTCATACCAGCGATTCCAGCACCATTGACCTGACCAGGAGTGTGAGACATGGCGGGAGACATTGACTGACGAGGTACGTTGGTCATATTGGATTGGTTACCCGCGTTATCGACGCCGCTCAAGAAGGAACCTGAGTCGGGGGTACTGCCACTATTCATGGACCGAGTGACAGCTTCGAAGTCACGGTTTAGACTCTCCAACTGAGGGTCAACAGAGGGGTCAACCGCGGGCAAGGAAGAATCGTCGTCGAATCCAAAGCCAGGAGTGTCGATGCCTAAGACGTCCCTCTGGAAGCGCTCCAAGTCCAGACGATTTACGCGAGTGGAACGCCGACGGTGGCCAGGCACGAAAGGTCGCCTAGCGGGAGTCTCCGAGGTAGTTTCGGCGATGGTGATAGGCTGGTCAGGGGCAACAACGGCCTCAGTAACAGTAGCAGGAGAGTGGGTCAAAGAGACGGGAAGAAGAAATCGTACTGTACGGGTGGAAGTGGGAGTCGTGGTAGTTTGTTCAGCATGTTCAGCGTGTTCAGCAGGATCACCTTCAGCAATACCGCTATCACTGAAATGGTCAAGCACCGGACCTTCGGAAGCTGAGCTCCGATCTTCCGGATCTCCATCCAAGGCGGTCAGCATTCTGCTATCCTGGGTGGTGATCCCACGGGATCTAGAGATGATGATGATCCAACCAAATCCTAAGAACAAGGGAGGAATGACGGTTGGCTGCACCTGTGTGAATGTTGTTGGTGGAAGTGAATATAAACAAAAATGGTGGAAGACAGTGCAGCCGAGCAGGTAGGGAGTCCCTTTGCTTTTCCTCTCTGTGTTTGACCTTCACTGGCACCTTCTGTGAGTGGTGCAGCTGCAGTGATTTTCGTACAATGGCCTTCCATCCCTTGCACTGCTGAAGAAAGCAATAGGCCTTGTTAAATTTAGGATCGCGCTTTCTCATTTGGAGGATGAGAAAACTTACTACCGAGTAAGATTGAGATCCACTGGTTATGTCGGCATTCCATATATATTTACATTTCCATCTACATAAATATAGAGTCATCATTACGGCCCTGACGGCCTTTGCCCTGTACATTTCATTCTTCTTCCTCTTTTTCATTCTTATGACATTGTTCGCCGTTGTTCCTTCGTTTATTTTCTTATTTTTATTTTTATTTTTATTTTCTCTTTTCCCTCTTCCCTCTTTCTCGCCTTTGTTTTATCAATGTTCAATCACACCCCTCACCCATTCATATCAAGGAGGGCTTCCAGCTTTTGGTCCGAGTCCAGCTGATACGAAGTCGGATCCTCCTGGCTATTACCGCGTTTCTTGCTATGTTGGATGCGACCTCCTACCCGTGCAACGAGCATCCTCATCTTCTCCAATTCCTGCACTAGTTCGCCATCCCGAGTAATAAGGTTCGGCTGAATATTCTGCTGCGGTTCCTGAAACGGTTCCAAAAGACGCTGTAACCGGCGCAATTGTTCCAGACGCCGTCGTCGCTGCTGTCGCTGGTCATCAAGAGTGACCAAGCGCTCTCGTAACTTCTGATACCTGTAACCGCCTCCTGTCAGCCAGATGAAACCCAAATTACCACATTGTAACCCAACCTAAGACGTTCCTCCTCGCTTGCGGACTGGTCCTCGAGTTCCACAGGGAGCTGTGTAAGGTTTCTGATACGCGTTAGTCGAATGACTCCTGCGGTCGGGAGGAATGGGGTTCAAGAGAGTTGCGACGCACAAGTGGTTGGACAAATCGACCGTCTTTTCAATACCTCTCTCAAATGAGTTCTGATCGCGTATCGCGTCGTTCACGGACGTCCAGTAGAGGCTTGCGACTTGCTGTGCGACATGTTGGATCGCTTGGGAGGAGTACACAATGCGATTATGCTGTTTCAATGCGCTGTTTACTACATCCCAGTCAGCGAGGAACAAAGACGGCTAGAGTGATGTAGAGCCCCCAGTGCAGTCAATAGCATAGGACCACGACCGTAGCCAAGCAGGTATTCCACGAACCGTACATTTTTGTAGGACATCTCCGACCACCTTATCGCTCAGGTCATCCTCCTCCGAGGCGGCGGCATAGCTTCTCCAATCCTCGGGAGCCTCGAGGCTTTCGGACAGGATACGCACCTGCGCCCGGATGAAGGAGGATTTCAGTTCGGAAATGGTACGCGTTGAGTCCATTTCCCCATTGCTCCATCGCGCCGACTTGTCCGTCGCAGTCGCGATCGCTCTGACGCTAATGATGCGCTATCGATAACAGGTCACGTGTTAATCCTAGGTAAGGGGTTGTATGTGAAAGTCGTAATCTCAATACCGTTACTATTCTTACACACGGAGTATTACCCCCTTGCCTTCATGGGTGACTGTTGACAGGCAACAAAAGTGGGCAAATTGAAGGCTATCGTTGACGTGAAAGTTATCGAAACATAAGCAATAATGTCTGCTCTGAAATTGGCAGTGGTAAGTGGCTTTACGTACTAATTGGATGAAAACACTATGTTTCCTCGCTATGACTAGGAAAAGATAAAATGGTCTCTCCCACGCCTCTATTTTCAATGTCGAGTATGACAGTAGTCACCAGGCGCTGCGTAGGCGCTGGTCAGTCTTCCTTCAGGGCACTTTAGGCCCCTGTTCACCCACCCAACTATTATACACCCGAGCTAGAAAGAAGTCAGCACCGTAAGCCCTCCCCATAAACCTAAACATCTAAACATGATAAAAATATTGATATTGTTTTGTCACTAAAGCATTATATGATTAAACTATAAATTTATCGCTTATGAAAACTTGTAAAATATGGCAAGGGAAAATATGTTAATACTTGATTAGCTAGTTAATCTAGACGAGTATTTTGTTTTTTTTAATACTGAAGTAATCTGATTCTATTGCGTATTGTTGACCTGTTGTATCACAGAGCAGCCTGGATCTCGAAAGGTATATTTATCTTGACCCTTTACCTCTATCCTGCAATACCACATGGCTAGAGCTAGACTTGATGTGAGTCAATTTGAATTACATTGGAAGGGAGCACTGTTGGAAAAGTAATCTAGGTATCTTAATGGAGGGGGCTATATCGGACGAGAGATCCTAGAAGTTCTATTTCACAAGAGACGTAGCTACATTGACATTGGCATAAGCATATTCTTCATACATATTGTGATATGGTATAACAACAGACAATGATTGAATACTTAGGTACATGAATCTCATACATCAAAAGTATGTCTTCTCCACAGGTACTGTGGGTAAGCAAAGCCATATTGGCATATAGAGCTCGTCTTAGCTTCACCATAGGCCATTTGCCATAGGCTACGAGACTCCAGCACCACGGTGAGGTACGAGCTCGTCGCTGGAGGCCTGATCGATGGTACACAGGCTCCCGGAGCATAAAGCAACGGGATTTTGAGAGTTAAGAGGTTTGCTGCTCGAAGACCTCCATGCGATAGGACGAACATAAGTCTTCAAGAGAGCTACATAAATAGCAGGGCGAGGATGATTTCAGCAAAATGATTCATCTGTGCTGCCTTCCAGATGTTCCAGGGGCCGTATCTGTGCATGTAGGCAAATCCAGGATGCACGATACTCCCGCGGCCTCCCTTGAGATAGCGGAGCCATCCTTGGTCGTACTGGAAGACCGAGATATAAATATTGGTTCCATCCTGTGACACAAGAACTCGCTTACCGTTTCCTGGGACGCCCGGGTGCTGCTTCACCCATGCCACCATCTGTGCCACCTCCTGCATATCAACAGCTGGGGAATGATACGCCCGCCGGGATCGTTGATACTCAATGAGTGCCACAATCTCACGACTGAAGGTATCCACCAGCTGGCCATCAGTATATGCAACGAACTGTCTTTTGCGTCTTACCGTGCCAAAGTCTGCCGTCAGCTTGATTCTATCAGCCGTCCATTGGCGTCCAGACTGGGGAAACAGATCCGCAATGGCTTGTAAAAAAGAAAACGATGGCAGTGTTGACACTGGCTTCAGAACTTTCGTCCCGAGGCTCGTTCCGAATTACTTGCTGTTTTTGGATAGCTGGAATCCTGAACAGTCTGTCGTTTCCTGCCCAAGCTGCACCCTGACTCTGCCTGGTGGTGAGATCAGAGATATAATCTCTGAAAGCTGCACCTCCTAGGAGTTGACGGGCTTGCGTCATCCAAGGCGCTATGCCAAGGGTCTGGTTATTGAGCTGCCGTGGGCGGATAATGGACGGTAGGATGGTCCTGAAGAGTAGAAACTGCTTATTGCTGACTCTGGACGCGGAGTGCAATTTCAAGTTCATCCGCAGGGATTGATTCTTTCCCTTGTACTTCCGAGCGGTTTCCTTCCACTTCCTTTCGGTCTCGGGCAATACGCCATTCGCCATTGTGAGATTGGGAGCTGGTGTAATCAAGAGGAATGTTATCAAAAGTTAAGATGGCATGTGCAATGCAGTGTTGCTTGGTAGGACGAGAAGCAAAGAAGAGGAGGAGCAAAAAACAAGAGAGGCGGGCTGGAGTCACTGGACATCAGCCCTCGCCCCCCATCTCCCACCCCAAACAAAGTGAATGAATGCATTTTGTGTTAGTCTCTCTTTTGTAGGTATATAAACAGTAATAACAGATGTTTCTCTAAGGGCCTTGATCTTCTACGAAATTCACTACATAACATTGACCTTTACAAATACAGTGAAAGGATCAGAGGAATTCGCGAGAGGGACAAGGGAATACAGATGTAATATGCCAGATAGAGAAGAGATCGGACTCGGAAAGGCCAGAAATTCCATCCTTCACTCAAAAAGATAGCTGGGAAGACGAAGGCCAGTGAATAAAGCAGTAGTAGAACTTCCCTTTTGTAACCTAGGTGACCCTGTTGCTTGGTTCTATTTCAACCCCCCAAGTCCTCCCTCTTCATTCTCTCTTTTCCCTCTTCTTCTTTCTCACCACAACCTGCTTCCACTTCATAACGGCACTGCCAAGGAACCAAGGCGATTTAGCTCACCAGCAACAAGCTCATTTTAATAGCCTCCCGCCCCCCTTTCTTCTTCTTCTTCTTCTTTTTTTGCTATGTCTGGTATCCAGCATAGCAGGTGGGCTGACAGCCCGGCCACTGCAGCAGCCGCTGGAGTGAGTGAAGACCCCAACCGCGGTGGTCAGCGTGGCCGAGATGGCAAGAAGCCCCTTACTGACCGCGTAGTATGCCCCACAGATAAGGCTATTTTGAATGGAATGTACTGACTATCAAAAGGCTGACAAAAGGGAGCCCTGGGTCTGCAGGAACGGATGTGGTATCCACCATCCGGGAAAAGTCTGCCCAACGGTCGAACTTGGTTAGCGAATGTGGGCTGCCGCTGAGCAATTCCGGACAGCCCAGGTAAGAAAGAACATGAAATATGATTTATCACTTCAATAAGGTTAACGCTGAACATAGAGTAACATCATTGCAGATGCGTTGTCCGTACGCCCTCCCTCCTATTCCGCCGCTGTTAACCCCCGCGGTGTTTCGGCTCCTGTGCGTCGACGTAATCGTCGTCGTGGTGGTGGTGGTGCGAATACGCCCACGCCTGGTGGCTCTAGCATCCGCCCTCTGCCCGCGGCCGCCGATGGAAACAATACCTCGGCTGGAAACCGGGACGAGAAGGCTGGAATGCATTTTGATTTTCTGTCCGATGATTGGCTTTGAAGGTTCAATAATTGATGTATTGCAATTTCTAGGTTCCCTAATCCTTTCTTGCGTTGCTGCCCAGCAACTGGATATTATCCACGCATTGCAGATTACTGGGACATCGACTTTTTGATTGAATATGAGAAGCAAAATGCCTCAACACTTCCCCATATTGCCGTGGGGGCTTCCCAGCCAGTGAATGCTAGAGAAAACGTCATTCTATATGGGGAGCTTGCCGTAATTCTTACTGTTATGAAAGGCCGTGCGAGACAGCCAAAAGCAGAGAGTGAGGAGGAGATGGAGGATATACATGATATGCGAAGAGAAGAGCTTGAGGCAGCTTGCTGGAAAAGTCCAGCCTTCCCAAACGAGCAGAAGTTTCCGCTTCTTCTCTTTTCCTTTGTGGGCCCGCAGCATGCAAGGATACTCTGTGCTTCCATGCACCAGAAGCGGCTAATAGTTCGGATGTCGAAGCTTTATAGCTTCGAGAGAAAGGAAGAAGCTCCACTTGAACTGTTCACGTCCTGGCTTTTTTCGCACCCTGTGGTGAATACTTAACTGCGTCTGAAAGTCAGTTCGGTTGGGTCTGAAACCCTGGTCAACCTCTTGGTCGACTATTCCAGCAGAAACTGGTGCCTGTGTCGCATCGACTAGGCCTCCAGCGACGAGCTCGCACCTCACCGTGGTGCTGGAGTCTACTAATATGAGCAAATGACATTTGGTGAAGCTACTACAAGCTCTGAATTTCTACTTAGCGGATTTAAATTCTCGAGGAGGCCGGGCGCACCATCGACCGATCCTGATGTCTTCGGATGGATTTGAGTACGAGCGTAAATGTGGGGATGTGAATTGACCATGTTTCCTCTGGATACTACACCTGCTTCCTATCAGTTTGGGCTAAATCTAACGCACAAATTATGATTCAATATAGCGACAACTTCCATATACTCCTTCCATGATAGAGTCAAGTCTGCTATATAAGTAAAGTAAGAGCGATTTTCTATAAGCTTGATGGTGGCCACATTAGACAATAGCTCTTAGTATAAACTCCACTTAGGGCAGCCGATACACACGTGACTCACAGGCTCCATCCCTTCGTAGCCGGGGCACAGTTCATTCGGCCGCTACGGAGGGTTGTAGCCAATGATATTGTCCCCATACCCGTAGCGGCCGATGTCATCAAGTACACCTAACGGAATGGTCGACTTCATCTCCTAGAGAGTTTCCATCTACAGATGAAAAGTCCTTTGGAATTATGATCCCATTGTGTATTGGAAGGTACATACCTGAATATGGACTCGGCCATGGGATTTCTTGTCGAACCCCCACACCTACGTACGGACCTTTATAGCGGCTTGAGCCGAGACAGCCCGATTCTCCGTGTATATCTAGTACAATTTATGCCTTGATTGCTTCTGAAACATCCGCCTTAGTCAATCTTTTAACATCGCAGTGACACTATAGACTACCTTTTCACTGGTTAACTCGTTTGTCAGCACTTACTCGGCGAGCTGATACCTATTCAAAGCTCATAGTGGATAAGAGCTTGAGACCTCGGGAAACCCCCTTGAATATCTTCATCTGGCCCTGGATCCTGAACTCCTGCTCTAGTGCATTGTGGCGTGTCGATTTAGCAAGGCCAGCATATCTACTTCCACCCACAAGTAGCAAGGAAATTATCAGATTTATATCGTGGTTCTTGTTGTATAGTTGTGACAATGCACACCACAAATGCAAGAGTCGAGAAAGATAGTCTCGGCCAAGTCGAGCTGCCACCTAAGGTACTCTACGGCATCAACACCTATCGGTCGCTTGAGAATTTCACGCTCTCCGGTCGAACTATCACAACATGGCCGGAGTTCATCTATGCGTTCGCCACAATAAAGCAAGCGGCAGCCCGGGCAAACGGTGAAATAGGTGACCTGACAGCAGGGCAGGCAGATGCGATTTATGCGGCTTGTGAGGAAATCAAGCTCGGCAAACACGATGCACATCTTGTTGTCGATATGCTGGAGGGCTCGGGTGGCACCTCAACAAATATGAATATGAACGAGGTGATTGCGAACATTGCGGCAAAGCGCTCTGGTCGAGCGCTCTCTGATTACGGCTTTATCCACCCGAATGATCATGTCAACTTGGGGCAGTCCACTAACGATGTGGTCCCGACTGCCATGAAGCTGGCCGTCTATCATGCAATGGCAGAAGCTCTGCGCACCCTCCGACAGCTAGCTGACGCATTCTCGACGAAGCGTGAGGAGTATAGCTCGCTTCTTCGTCTCGGGAGGACCTGTCTCCAAGATGCGCAGCCGATGACTCTCGGCCAAGCATTCGGAGGCTACGAGGCGGCTGTCCGGCGACACACAGACCAGCTTGACACAATCCGCAAGCAATTCCTGACAGTTCCCCTAGGAGGAACAGCCATAGGGACAGGATTCGGGTCCTCGACTGGGTACAAAGCTGCTGTATTCCGGCACATGTCCCTCTTATTCGACACCAAGATCCAGCCGAGTAACAACGCATTTGACGGTATGCAAAACATGGACACTTGTGCCCGTCTTTCAGGAGAGTTGCGAAACACCGCCAACACTTTATGGAAAATCGCCAACGACCTCATCATCCTATCCTCTGGTCCTAGCGGTGGCATTAACGAGGTCACTCTGCCTTCCGTCCAGGCCGGATCCTCAATCATGCCCGGAAAAGTCAACCCAGTCATCCCCATCGCGGTCTGCCAAGTTGCGTTTGCCATCGCCGGCAACGATACCGCGGTTGCAATGGCATGCCAGCAAGGCATGCTCGAAATCAATCACTTTGAGCTGCTTGTGTGTGACCGCCTCCTGGACAGCATCCATTTACTCGCTCGCGCTGCTGGCATCTTCAGTCGTCGGTGCATCGAAGGCTTAACTGCAAATGAAGACGTCTCGCGTATGCATTTGCGTGCGTCTAGCGCGTTGGCTACTGCGCTGGTGCCGACTCTCGGCTATGCGCAGACTTCGACCATCGTCCGCGCGGCTCTCGCAGACAGAAGGCCTTTCCTGGATGTCGTGGTTGAGAAAGGGTTACTTACAGAAGAGGAGATCATGTCGGCTATTGAACTCTCCGTCCATCAGGATAACGATTCAACGCAGAGGAAGAAATAACATGAACAAAATGTGACCGATTCTGAAATACCTAGTGGGACGCTAGTTTCAAGAGGTAGTGGACGTGCGAAGGCTTCCACTGGTTAATTGCGAGGACACGGAGACAGATAATCTTAGATGAGGACGGACCTAGCTCAGACTAGACTATGTGGACTAGTGAGAATGTGTTTTACATTGCAAATAGATTCAAATCAGCAGTGCGAGCTTCGAAGTGGTTGTTGTATGAGGGCCTCGTCGCCATCTAGGTTTGGTATACAATGGATGATATCTCTATTCGCCAGATCATACATTTTGAACAAAATGATATTATGAATACGAGGTCTAGATTATGGAATGAGTCTCCATGATCACCATGACTTGACAGACACCATGTGGTGCTCTACTTTCGCCGTAGAATTATAGTGAAACGGATTCCTGAGTCATAACCATGGTTAAAAACATAAAGATCAGTAGTAGAAAGAAAGTTGGCTGACAATGAATCACTTTCTCATGTTTCCAAATACTATCTATATATTGGTTCCTCTTAGATAAAAATTCTTTCAATCGATTGAGCAATATTGTGTTACTAGTTGATAATACATTCTAGGATGTATAGCTATGTACTGAAATAACCACGTATCCTAGAAAATGTTTTCGACCCTCTTGCTAGAAACATTATACGAGGTAGCGGAAGCCTCCAACGGTTCCCTCTTCGGCATCCCTTCTGTCCAGTTGTTTATTGATTCTCTGTAGAAGGAGTCGGAAAATAGTGGCAGTGAATATCGAAAGCAATGAAGTGCCTGCGTTCACGCTCATAGCTAGAATAAAACGAGGGGCATCACTGTCCGGATAGAGATAGGGGGTATATATAGACGAACAATTTGCAACCGCATTTGCAAATGCGAGTGCAGCAGCCCTTTTTGATGATGGTTTTGGAATGGTATTTGCGACCCAGGAGATACCAATGATAAACGCCGTATAAACACCTGGCAGCATGATCATCATCGCAAAGTATCTGGCACCGAGGTTGGTCGTAGCTGCTGAGATGATGAATCCGGCAATAGAAATCCACAGTGGTACAGAGAAATGGAGGTATCGCTCTCCTGTTCGGTCCGCATTTCGGGAAACAGCCATAGCGACAATGCAGGACAGTATGTACGGCGGTACCGTTAGTAGGAGTGTATGGATCCGACCTTTACCCAAGCTCTCAACTACCGTTGGAAAGAAGCTGTTGATTGTGCCGCTGGAAACAGCGCCGAAGTTGAGAATCACGAGAAGCCAGGTCTTCCAATCAACCATGCAGTCTTTAAAACCCTTGAGCAAGCTTAGATCCTCCTCGCAATCCCAATCTTCCTGTCCAATATCTCTTGCTAGCCGCCAAATTGCGAGCTCCTTCTCTTGCTGGGACAGGCCTTTTGTATTGTGGGGGAAGTTTGGTAAAACAAAGTAAGCGGCGAGGGCAATGACCACTGTGATTGATCCCTATAACGGTGGAGGATCAGATGCTGGCCGGAAACGGTAGAAGGACTCTCGCAGAAACACGTACCTCGATGATGAATATCCATCTCCATGCGAGGAGCCCTTTCACTCTAGTTTATTGTTAGTCTGCAGCAGTGGCGTTGTATGAGGGGACTTCAACTCACCCATCCATGCCGTCATTAATACCGGCAGCAATAAGACCGGAGAATGCACCGGAGAGAAGAGACCCACAGTAGAGAATGGCAGTACGCAAGGAAAGTTCTTCCCGAGTATACCAAGCACTTAATGTTGCCATGCACCCTGGCTAGCACGATGTTAGTTAACATCCGCATAAGCACAGTCTGAGAGCATAGGACTGACAAAGTATGCCGCTTCAACGAAACCAAGGATAAATCTGAAGGGCTATGTTAGCCCACCAAGGATAACAATTGTCCGAACGGTGCTTTACCGGCATGCCAGAAGGCCACCATAATTGTGAACTGCACCAGTGACCCCGCATAAAATTCCCTTAATTGAATGATTATGAGACATGTTGATTTAAATAAACTTTTGTGTCTTAAACTCACCCATACTACCATACACGTTGGAAGATAAAGTGCAGGCTTTCCGATTTTGTTCAAGAATAGGTTTGATGGTACTTGCATGAGAATATAACTGCGGTCATCAGTACGGGGGTTTGCTTCTCCAAACATTTCGAGCATACCCGACAAAGAGAATGCTAACGCAAGTCTTAAGCAATTTAGTCATGAAACCCATATTAACCTTATGAACGATTTAAATACCTGAAATTGAACGGATGTCAGGTTGAGCTCCTCTGTGATGCCACTTAACTTGGCTGCTGCGATCGCATTTCTGGCAGTACTATTAGTGCACTAGCACCCCATCAGTGAAGGCTATATGAAAAGCACCTGTCTAAATAGTTCATGATATATATCAAGACCAGCATTGGCATGAGTCGAATGTCAAGCTTTCTGACCAAGTCCTTTTCCACCGCTATTCTCTCGTCATCTGTTGTGCCCTGAAGCGTAGGAGGCAACCGAATTGAAAGTGTTGAGCCCTGTTCAAGTTTGTCCTCTGGAGTCATCTCGGGGACTTTGGCGTTCTCCTTAACATCGACCATTTTGAAAAGTACTCAAAACAAGATTGATTAACGCTCTGAATGGCGAGAAGCATGCTGCACATTAATAGCTTTTCTACTATCTCAAAGAAAGGCGCCATCTTCCCCTCTGGTCTCCAATATCTAGGAAACACCCTTTCGCTCGGCTTCAGTATGTGCCCTTGGCCAAAGCTAAAGGCATCTTAGATAGGGTTTCCCCGCATCATTGGTTAAGGTTCAGACCGATTGTTAATTGCCGCGTTCGGCCGCTACGGCTGTGTCCGTTCATATCGGAGGCGATAAACCAAATGTTACACTCTCAGAAGGGGAATCGGATTGATCTTTGGCCCCTATCGCCGTAGTGGCCGATGTTGGATAGCCTGTGCACCGTCCCAGGAGACATAGCGATATTAAACATTTGGTGATACTAAGGGAGTAATCAGCCGTAGTCTCCGAAAACTGCGGGGTGCTTAACACGCTCATGCGACTTTTAGCGAAGCGACAAAGGGTATGAAGAGACAAGAAAAGTTCGACTGATAATAATCACTAAGTCTCGAGACCGTCTAGAACAAGCGCTGTGTGATTCACAATATGTCATAATTCTAGGTTCTGTTGTAGGGGAGTGAATGTTCTGAGCTAAGATACTTTTATCTAGCTTCGGTTAGAAAGTAAATCGAACTTAGTTGCCACCTCACCTGACGAACCTTACCGCAGGAATCGGGGAAGTCTGATCTGTTCTCTTTCCAACCCCCTTGTGGCTCAAAATTTGAGATATGCCTCGATTCAAAGGAAGGTCTGCCCGTGCCTGCTTTTACTGTCGCAGCCAGAAAGTGAAATGTAGTGGCGGTAAGTATGCTTTCTGCGATTCGTAATCATCACTCTGACCGATTGAGGATCAGAACAGCCATGTGTAAAGTGCGTTTCGAGCCGGAAATCATGCGTTTTCCCGTCCCAGGAGCGAGTTACAACTGTCTCTGAGACCTATTTACGCCGGCTAGAGAGCGAAATCATACGGCTACGGCAGCCTAGTCGTGACGGCCCTCTGGCCGTGACTCACACCAGCTACCAGCCCACAACCCCGTTCAGCGATGGGTCGCAAGAACAGATACTGCCGGAGCGATTAGTTGAAAACTCCACAACCGAACATTTTGTACGCAAGCTCAAAGGTGTGTACTCCAACCCTATCCAAGAGATAGCCGGGGTACCCCCTTTTCCCACGACATCGACCCCTAGCGTAAGCGAGCTCAACGCCCAATCCACGGCATCGAACTACACATACATTCCTCTGGAACATGACAATAGCCGTATGTAGAGTCGCGACTGTCACTTTCGACCTTCCTAACATCCATAGAACCCAAGGTGCTCGTCAAGTTTCCACCGTACTCTTACGCTCTCTATCTTCTGGGCCAGTTCGAGTCATTTATGGGATGTGATTACCACTGGTATCAAAAGAAGCGCTTTCGCACTCGAATAGACGACCTGTACGATCCGTCACGGTCATATCAAATAGAAAAAACATGGCTTTGCTGTGTTTCTGTAGTCTTGGCCTTGGGAGAGTCATATAATGACATTGTTTCTCCAGCATTCCTGGTTGATAGCAGAGCCGAGTTCTCCGCCAATAGTGCTGATACAATAGACTCTGAACGAGTAAATCCGCCGGGGATTGAACTCTTTAAGCAAGCATTGCTCCTTCTGCCACCATCTTACGAGGAACCCACAGTTGAGCAGGTTGAGGCCCTCAATCTCATTGTAAGTATGATGCTGAAAAGTGGGTATAGTCGCATTGAATCTGATTTCAGATAGACATTTTACTGCTACTCTCTCAATCGACGAAAAACGGCTTATACATACGCTGGGACGGCTCTTCGGTTGGCCAAGCTCCTCGGGCTTTCAAAGCCGCAGCCAGCAATGAGTCCATTGGAGCAAGAACATCGCAAACGCGTATGGTGGACGACGATTTGCATGGATGTAACAACTTGTATAGAGCTATCCTTGGAGCCCGCCTGTGTATTTAAGGAGGACAGCATCGGATTTCCGGATAGTTCTCAGTTATCCATGGAGGACGCTGAGGAATTCTCAGATCCTCAGTATCTTACCGCACAAGTTAAACTTTGTCGTATCAAATACCAAATTATCAAGACGGTTTCTGAACTCCGTTTCGGAAATGCCGTCGAAGCACAAGCACTTATTGGGCCATGCCTACAAGCTTTGAATCGTTGGAGCCTGGAGTTCTCGCCACGTTTGGAGTTTACTGAACAGGGAGGCTTCTTGGACAATACTTTGGCTTTCTCGCCGATGCGGACCGTCGCATCCCTGCTACTTCGCTATAATCAGGTAAGAAGAGCGATTCCAGATCGACAATGGGGTGCTGATGGATTAGTGTTTCATCCTTCTCCTTCGCCCGTTTTTGTTGAAACAACTCCATACCCTCGTCCATGGACAAGAAGATTTCATGACCTGCAATGATGTCGTCAGCCTCAATACACAGTGCTTGCAAGCTGCAACGCATAGCACTGCAATTCTATTTGCCTTGTCAAAATGTCACAAAATTGGTATGTTTCTTCGTCTCATCATCAATTGTCTCAGATATTCACTTTCGAACTTATTTCGGTATGCTAATATCTTCACAGCGAAATTCGGATTCTGGGAGTCCCTACACATATTTTCTAGCCTCACCGTACATGTGATCTCCGGCTGCCTGATGGAGAAGCGGCCTAATGCTTTTGCTGGTGCCCGGACCAGTGCTCTGTACAGTCCAGTCAGGAGCTTACTTGGAGAAATGGCTCGATTGGGCAATGCAGCGTCGAAGGATCATGAGAAGATGATCCACGACATAGAGGATCTATTCACAGATATTACTCCCAATACAGACCTGACTGAAGGGGTGGCGGATGTTGTCGAATGGCCGGAATACCTGAACGCTGAAAACATGACTTTTGCCCTCGATGAGACACTTCCTCCGCTTTCTTGGTCGTGAATGCAAGCAACAGTCCCATGGAATTGACATACATTAAACTTTTAAATAAAATTTATAGATATTTAAATATTTCTTTGTAATTTTACTAGGTGGAGGTACTATGTACAAGGCGGATGTCAAGGCTGTGTGGTAATCAAAGTCCAATGTATCCAAGGATCTTCTTTACTCCTGTCGAGTCGATCACCCCGGGGATGCGTCGGGCCAGGACCCAGTATCCGGTTGCTTGTAGCCACCCCAAAGCCTTCCCGGTCTACAGCGGACTAAATCTAGGATTCGAGCTAACAAGACAATACTTTGGATTTTATGATTTTTTACCAAGATTTTCGGTGTTTTACATAAAGTCAGGGCTACCACGTATCTTCTAATGATTTAGTGTCTTCCCGGCCACGTTTAGGGTGGCAGGGTACTATTGAAATTCTAGAACCTAGGGAGAGTTCTCAAGATTCTCTGCCACTGGCCCCTAAAGATCTAGTATCAGGACCTATAGGGTATAGACATGGTGCTAGGTAGGCCCTGGCGGCCCCTAGAGGCAGTCCCTAAAGGCGTGGTCTTTAAGGCGGTAAAAATGGCCGAATTAAGATCGAAAGACGGTCAAACCTCGGAATCGGACTAGTCGATAACCCGGAACTTTCCAGCATAGCCAGAGAATCTAATTGGTCAATATAATACTATGGGTGGTGTTGATAAACTGGGTACAGTATTTTACATGATCTGTTAGCTCGATTGAGGCCGTCGTAGAGGTCAGCTTTATGTCGCTTTAGGAAGCGCTCAGGTCTTGAAAACATGAAGTCGACAAGTCGGTGAATTATGAGCAGCATTCATTCAGTTGCCAGGCCCTCCGAGCGATAGAACCCCAGCGCTTTCCCCGCCACAATAACCAGGCGGCCCGTGTCTAGCTTTCCCGATACACATTGCCAGTACTCTAGTCGAACAGAAACTTGACAAGTACACTACTCATCAATCAACTGCAACTACGGAGAACAATATCTCCAAACGTAAGCTCACAACAATGCAAACCTATTGGCGCACGTAACTTTACACCCATATCACCCATATGACATTTGTCCCTTACCCCTTGGAGGCAATCCACCATTGACGATGACGCGTTGCTCAAAGAAGGCCTTCTGGACTATGCCTTGGCCCTGGAAGCCAGGACACGTCTCGACCACCGTCTCACATTTTCGCGGGTCTCCAATGTTTCGTCCGAGCAGGTTATGCTATGCCTCGCTCACAATGTCGCCGTGTGAGGACGCCCCTGAGGAACGTCGCTTCGAGTACAACTGGATCGATGGTGCAGAGATCCTTGAAAAGTATAAGCCAGGCGGGTATCATCCCATCATGATTGGTGATGTACTACGCGATCGATACCGTATTGTCGATAAGTTGGGTTATGGGAGCTATTCGACTGTTTGGCTTGCCCGTGACACTTGCTCGAAGCGCTATGTCGCTGTTAAAGTGGGCATTGCCGATGCGCCTTCTCACGAGACAAAAATTCTTCAAGCACTTGCCCAACACCATGCCACATCTGGTGAGCATCCAGGTCGTGATGCGATACCTCTCCCTCTTGATGTATTTGAAATCAGTGGCCCGAATGGAACACATCAGTGCTATACTATGCCTCCTGCACGATGTAATCTCAGAGATGTCTCCTTTTGCCACCTCTTCCCTCTTGAAGTCACTCGTGCTCTGTCTTATCGCCTCACTCTAGCTCTGGCATATACGCATTTGCAAGGTTATGTTCATGGAGGTTTGTCAGTCCTTCCTAGAATTCGCAATCCAATTATCCATTGCTAACCTGGGTTTATCTTAATCAGATGTGCATCTTCGCAATATTCTTGTCAAACTGCCATCTTCACTCGATCAACTCTCAGTAGAACAGTTTTATAAGACCTATGGCGAGCCCGATACTAGCAAAATCACACAAAGGGATGGCAAACCGCTTCCTCCCAACATCCCACCCAGGGCAGTCGTTCCGCTATCCCTTGGGAAAGAGGCGGAAGAATTTACTCTCGCTGATGCTTGTGTGCTTCTGAGCGATTTTGGCGAATCATTTGACCCAACCTACAACCCTCGCAGAGGCGAAAATTGTCACACGCCACTACCCGCCCGGCCACCCGAAGCACTGTTTCGGCCAAAAGCTCCCCTCTTATTCTCAGCTGACATTTGGAGTCTTGCTACGTGTATCTGGGAGATCCTTGGTATGAAGGCTATCTTCAGCAGTGAATGTTATTCGGCAGATGAACTGGCATCTCAGCAAATCGACATACTGGGCCCTGTATCCAAAAACTGGTGGGAGCAGTGGAACGAACGAGATGAGTTCTTTGATATGAATGGTCGTCCAGTGGAGGGTCGCTACGTGTGGCCTCCCATCGAGCAGGCTTTTGAGGAGGGTATTCAAAAATACAGACGTCTGCGTCAAATTGGCGAGTATGGAACGGAAGAAACTGTTGCAATTCTAGATTTGATGCGGCGAATGTTCGCATTTTTACCTGAGGATCGACCTACCGCTGAAGAGGTATTGAAGTCTGAATGGATGGTCAAATGGTGTTTGCCTGACTTTGAGCGGCGCTTGCACCCAAGCAAGTAACTGGATATTTATTCTATGATTTGCTTCGATAACGCTCAAGATATTTGCTGAGGCAAAGAATAGCCCACTATACATCGTTACAGCCATTGGCCTCATCACACATATGACCATTTCAGTCTGGTCGTTATATTTGATTGGCCAAATGGGAGTACCCAATGAGACTAAGAATATATTCCTCAAGGTCCTTCTCTGGTGGTCAAGCAACTTTATCGGATTTCTTCCCGCCTCGAGGGAAATCGTCCCCCTTCTCCGGCGTATGCGTAGCTCCGTCAAAACAAAGTCTGTTTTGCCCTTGATATACCTATGGGATGCTACATGGAATTGCCGCATGACTTGGTCATTGTCATTGAAAGCTAGGGCTGTATGCCACCCTTTCGGGTCTTTGACATGCTTACCGTCCATGGCCGTTGTATAGAAAAAAGGCAATTATTGCAAGATATATATTAGATACCGAGTCAATCACCTCGGGGATGCCCCGGGCCGAACAGCCAGGGCCTAGTATCCAATTGCTTGTCGCCTCGCAAACCTTTCCGGTCTCTCCCCGGTCCATCGATACAGTTGTGGTATAATTTTCAGAGTATTCAGTGCGAGAGATGATGGGTCTCCACATTGGATGATTAATCAATCAGCAATGGAGAATTACATCTCACCCTCGACAACAAGCCCAGACCTCGCGGTGTCTATCATTCTATCTTTGCGGTAGGTCCAGCTTACTCAGAGACTTCGCAAGGCATTCACCTCTAACCACCCGAGCTCCGAAGGTTGCAACATGGACTGCATACTGTCTCTTACTCTCGCCTTTACGGGGCTTTCCAGGTCCTCTGCTAGCTAGGGTTTCTCCTCTATGGATAGTCCTGCAATGCAGACGGGGTCGGAGGTCTCAGGCCGTTTCCGACTTACATGAGCAATACGGAGACTTTGTTCGTATTGCACCAAACCACATCTCAATTGCGAACCCAGCGGCCGTGCAACAAATGTATGGCCACCAGTCAGGGTTCCTGAAGGGACCCTTTTATCAAGATATGTTTTGCCCCGTCGCCCCCAACTGCCATACCAAGCTGACGTTGAGAGTATTCTACCATTTCATCAGGTCGAGCCAGTTCTGTTCAATACTAGAAGCCCCCAAGTCCATCAGCGCAAGAGGAAGATTGTCAGCCCTGCGTTCTCGGCAAAAAGCTTGCAGGAATTTGAGCCATATATGACGAAGAATATGCAGAAACTCATAAAGTCTATTCATGAGCAACTGCAGACATCTGAGAGGATCACACTGGATTTTAACGTATATGGTTAGTTGTCGTACCTTTGTCTGGCGTGTATTTAGGAAACAGGGCTAACCCTTTCCACAGCAAACTTTCTTGCTTTCGACATTATTGGTATGCTCTCTGTTCCTTTCCCTTCAGTCAACGTCTCGCTCATCGGGCCAGGTAATTTCGCGTTTGGTGAATCGTTCGGTTTCCTTGATCGTGAGGAGGACTACTTGAACCTCATAGAGGCAGTTGATGCACGCGGTGAAGTCCTCAATGCCCTCGGCCACATTCCCCCATCCCTGATACCCTTGGTCAAACGACTACCGCTGGATCCCTTCTGCTCGCAGGGACTTCGTGGCACACAAGCTCTCACCGCAATTGGAACAAAGGCCTACTTCAACCGACGCGACCAAGTCAAGTCCCGAAAAGACCTGCTCAGCTTTCTCTTCATGGCCAAAGATCTAGAAACAGGCGAGGCCCTCGGCGAGAAAGAGATCATAGCCGAGTCGATTTCATTCATCGTCGGAGGCAGCGACACGACGAGTACAAGCATGGTCAATGTCGTCGATATCGTGTCCCGCTCTGAGCAGATACAGCGGCGTCCCCAAGACGAGCTGGATGACGCTTTCCCCGGCGAGATGCCGGAGGACTGGGTGGCGGACTTCCGGACCGTCGAGAGCCTTCCCGTTCTGAATGCCATTGTCCGGGAGACTATGCGGTTTCGGCCGACGAGTGCCACTGGCCTTGAGCGGGTTACGCCTAAGGGTGGGAAGGTGGTGGCAGGGAGACTTTTGCCTGAGGGCGTACGTTCTAACAACATCCCACTAAAGCATAACACGCACGGGAACTAACAACCCCAAAGACCTTGATGAGCGTACCGACTTTTAACATCCACCACAGCCCCACGGCGTTTAAAGTATATCCAGGACCTCGGTGAGATTGGCGTGTGCTGACCGGTATGCTTACTTTTGCTGCCAAGGACCCGGAGCAATTCCGCTACGAGCGCTGGCTTGACGACGGCGCCTCGAAGCTATTTGAGTCTTTCGTCCCGTTTTCGATTGGGCCCCGTGCATGTATCGGTCGAAAGTGAGTGTCTCTAGTACGTACTGATTGGAGTTAGATTAACCCTCTGGTAGCTTTGCATGGATGGAGATCCTGAAGACGCTGGCAACGCTTTTTAAACTTTACCAGCTGGAACGTGTATCTGTTGGCGAAACTATGCTCCAAGAAGGGTTCTTCGTGAAGACTAGGGAGTGCGAGATTGCACTCAGAAGAAGAGTGCCTAGAGCATAGTGTGCAGGGGATTTTGGAAAGGGCAAGGCTCCGGACGGTGAATATGCGGGAGAGGCATTTTTAGGCTCAATAGCAAAAGTTATACTCAGCAGCTATCAAAACACATGAATCCATATTACCTTTCTGACTTCTAGGCCAAAGTCGACATTGAGCGCTGGCCGCTCCCTCTATTTTAGTACCGAAAGCGCCGGATATTCGAACCACGTGGCGGTAAGAAGGGTTCCACGAAGCCATCTGATAGAAATATATTTTAAAAGTTTGGTGCCAGTCAATGCTTTCCTATCCTGCAGATAGTTGAGGCCCGTCAGCGTATACCCTACTACAGCAAATACAATAGCACGACCCGGCATTCGACGAACTTGGAATATGTTTTATGGCCATTCTATAGCAATCAATAATGTACCTATCTAGTTTTCCCACAAGTAAAGAAGCTCATGCGAATTCAACACTATTCCTCAGCGTCCCAATCCCAGAAACCCAAACCTCCATCCTCGTCCCAGGGACCAAATACCGTGGCGGTTGCAGTCCAGCACCAACACCTGGATGAATAATACATCAGCCCCCAACTGCAAAACCAGAAGCTCTTGACTCCGCACCGGGCAGAATGTGGAAGGGAAAAGAAAGAAAAGGCAAGAAAAGAAAAGAAAGACCGACAAAACTCACCTCCAGGCGTGCCAGTCATAATGACACTCCCCTTCTGCAACGTAGTGCCCTGCGAGAGGTAGGAAACCAGGTACGCACAGTCGAACAGCAAATCCGCCACGCCTTCATCCTGTCTTACCTCTCCATCGATGGTTGTGCGTAGCTGCAATGTGCCTGGATCGGGGATTTCCGAACGAGCGACGAGACACGGACCCAGGGGCGCGTAGGTGTCGAAGCCCTTCGAGAACCCCCACTGCGGGACGCGGCCGGCGAGCGCAGGGTCTCGCTGGAGTTTTCTCGACGAGATGTCGTTGCCCACTGTGTATGCTGCGACGTAGTCGAGGGCTTTGTCGATGGGGATGTCTTTTGCGTCTTGGCCGATTACCATGCACTGGTCATACATACATTCGTGAGCAAAAAATTAGGCCAATATCGCAAGAAACGAATAAAGAGATGTAAACTTGGCATACCAGCTCGCCTTCGTAATCTGCCTGCTCGTCCTGTGCTATCTTGGGAATCGTTACGGGTGCCCCGTGGTCGTGGACGGTTGTGTTGGGCTTGAAGAAGATGAAGGGGAATGGCGGTGGGGTGCGGCCAGCTTCGCGGACTTCTTTCAGTTAGCGCTGGAAGACTTTGATCTTGTATATATTAAGGGCAAAAGATGTAAAAGGGGTGAGACGGGGGAGATGTGCATGGAACATACTGTGCTTTGCATAGTTCAGCCCCACACAGCGCAGGATCGGGATCTCTCCCGCTGCCAGTGGGCCCAGCAGTGTCTGCACAACGGCCACCTCGTCGGTCAGTTGGGACTTGCCTGTTGTGTCGTAGATATCGTCTCCGGATAGAATGCGGACCTGGACTTGGTCGGCTTCAGTAATCAAGCCCAAGTCGACGTCGCGGTCGACAAGAGGCTCACCGCGAAGGATCCGTCCGTCGGTGGCTTTGAAGCGGATGAGGCGTTTCCATGCAAGGCTAGGCATGATGGTGGCTTCTACTTTAGGGAAAGGTTGTGGATCAAAAATTGTACAGCTTTTGCTTGAACGGAAACCCGGGGGAGGAATGGGATTTGATATTCAAAAAGCTTCGGGGAGAGAACGGATGAGCGGAGCAGCGCTCCGGATGGTGGAATCTCTCATCTTTTTTATACGAATTTATGTTATTAATTTAAGAACTGAAGATTGCCACTTGTACTAGCTTACTATCACTTTTCCTTAGCTTTCAGCCCGTGGTAAACGACGTGAAAATGTCGCCATCCACCATGAATTCTCCAAATTCCATCCCTAGGGGAGAGATATCAACGTCTGCGGTCGAAGGGATTGCGAATCTCATAGATGGTACAACCACGACGCCCGAACTGAGTTCATCGATGCCTATTCCTGTCGGTCAGACTGATCTCGGAATATACGGCAATCACGAAAGCTAACTCACCGTAGAGGCCCGAACTGCTTATGAGTCTTTCCAGATAAAGTCTACAGCGGTCTACCATGCGGTTGCCAGTATCTAGTTTAAGTAAGGCTGCGACTGCATGGAAGGGGTACTTCCTAATTTTATCTACGACTCCACTCGCTAGCTGGCCTGACATGCTCCCTTCGCGACAGACTATTAGAATGCCAAGAATAACTAGTGCAGCGTTGAAGGCTGGGTAATCGCCAGTTAGTAGCTTGAGGATAAAGGGATATGTATGTCCACCAGGGATGCAACTGAAAAGTACCGACATACTATAATAGAGTGAGAACCACCACGCCCCCAGTAGATTGGGCAGCTTGTCCGAGCGATGAACAATGTCGTATACAAGATCAATGATCTGCATGGTCGAATCAGCGCAAATCTGCATACTGCTCAGACCTAGCTGGTGAAGAAGCTGTAATTGCTGAGGGTCGGACTGCGATCCGCCGCATGCGTCGAGAAAGCGTACGAGGATCGGTCGGTGTAGAAGCAGGCGGTAGTTTGCGTATCGTAGTGTTAGGATAATACGAAATCTCAGAGCAGCAAAGTCGTAGTCCGAGGCGGCTACCTGGTGCGCTTCTTCTACTCCGTCACTATTGATCAACCGCATGGCGTCGGGAAGCTGCCTTTCCCACGAGAACAGCTCCTGCTCTAGGGAGAAAACATGTGCAACAGCCTCGCCAATCGGTAATGGGGGATCACATCCTAGGTTTTGGCCATACAGTAAATCGATGGCCTTACAGATCTGATTGTACAGGGTTCTTGCTTTGTATCAGAGCGGTGCATGGGAGGGGGGGGCTGCGATGGTGGCCTACATAGTTGAGTTATATAGCACTAAGCTCAGGGAGGATGTCTTTGCGTCCACAACCGTGGATGAATCAAACATGACATCGCTACCTGGCAGTTCAAGCTTAACGTAGCTGTTGGGAATAGCAGCTGGGCGGCCGAAAGTCATGCTCAACGTCCTACAGAAATCGGTGGTCAGATGCCAGGTGTAGTAAGGAATGTATTAGTATACCTGTCAAGCACGACGCAGCCAAACCAAGTACGCAGCCTCGTCTCCTGCTCTAGACGGGGGAAAGCACGGGAAGCATCTTTGGAGTGCAGCCCCAGTTGAAGGGCCGCTTTTACCGCGAGGCCATGCACCGTCCATGCCTGGACCGATTTTTGAGTTCCTTGCAGATATTGACCCATAAGAAGAAGATACTGAACTGAATGACCCCGATATCTTAGTCGACTGAGTCCTATCTTTCAATAGACTACGTACGTACCAACTTCTAGAGTCGTCCCACGCAATATCTCTTTCCCGCATAGACTCAGACTCCGCTGGTAGAAGATATCAGACTCGGCTATTCTCACATTTGCGGGTGAACCACCCGGAGTAGTCGTAATCATAGCCATCGCTAGGACCATGTTCAAAAGACCGAGCCATGTCCTGCGCACTTTTGTGTTGTCGTGTAGCATGGCGTCGTATGTCTCGAGGAAGGTTTCGGGGTGTATGTATGGGAAAAGAAGCCCCGTGTCAGTGAAATACTGAGTGATTAGTTTCTTTGTCTCGGAGGTGGCCGGTAGTGTGAAGATATTCTTCGAGCTTCTGTCGAATCCCACACCATCAGGCTGCCCTGGCGGCGATGGGGGGCGAGAAGCACTCACGAAGCCGCCATCATAGGCTGTTGTGTCTAATGGCAGCCCTGTAGAGCTTGCCTGGGATGCCCCAGGTTGTCCAATGGATCTACACAGATGGCGTGTAAATGCAACATTGGATGAGGGCCCTGGTGCTGTGAGCCAAGAAAGAGGTGCTTAGGAGTGTTCGGCCTTTACCAAAGTATCCGGAATCTTCTTCCTCGGCTAGGGTTATGGCACCCATAGCATCCACCGAGTCTTCCGTACCGGCGAGGTCTGGTAGAGGAAGGTCTTGCTGTACATTGTTGACAGGTTTGTCTGGGACTCGTGTCGGATTGCAGCACTGATCTACACGAGAAGACAACCCACTAAGCCCATCCTTGACCGTAGTTAGTGACTCCTCCAGTTGATTAAGGCGGGATTCAATGGCATGTAAATAGCTAATGTGCGGTCAGAAACTCGAGCCACATAAGTTGAAGCTAAGGGGGCAACGCAACTCCTTTTGCACAATGATATTAGAAGCGGAGGCCGGGGTTGTGTACACGCAGTCGAACCCCAGATGGGAGCACGAAGAGCACTTGGGTCGAGAACTATCACACTGGGAAGCGAACAGTCAATCATCCGTCGCTCTCCACCACGTCCGGCGACCACAACATACTCGGGATTTTCGGATCCTACATGGATCGCAAGCTAGAGCGACCCTTCGGCGTTTGACCGCCGCAGCCGGGGGTGCTATGTCCTCGCGATTAGCTGGCTCCATGTCGCAAGACTCAGATTATCGGGGAAGTGACAAGTCCCTCTCTTGAGGTGCCGGGGTGAGTGGGAGCGCCGGGGAAAGATCGGGGTCCCATCGGGGAGAGACCGGAAGGACACCGCCTTTACTGGGAGGGCTACTCCGTATAGCGGACTAAATCGAGGATTCGAGCTCTCAAATAATACTTCAATCCCAGTGATTTACGTAAAGCCACGGCCACCACGTATTTTCTAGCGATTCTGTGTCTTACCAGCCCCGCCTATGGTGGCCAGGGTGATATTGGAAGTCTAGATTATAGAGAGAGTTCTACATATTCTGTGTCACTGGCCTCTAAAGATCTAGTATCAGGGTTCCTCAACGGTGATATTTTAAGGCGGTAAAGATGGCCGAATTAAGATCGAAAGACGGTAAAATCTCGGAATCGGACTAGTCGATAATCCGGACCTTTTCAACATCAGTCATAGAATATAATTGGTCAATTATTCATAATGTGTTGGTCTTGATAATAAACTCGGTAATAAGGCCAACTTTATATTGCCTAAGAAAACGCTCAGGTCTTGAAAATATAGAATTGAAAAGTCGGTAGATTATAAGCAGCATTCATTCAGTTACAAGGCCTTCCACATCCATGTCCTCCGAGCGATAGAATCCCAGCGCTTCAATCATAGGCTTATCGTCAAAGCGGTACAGGTAGGTAGTCTCGACTGTTCCAGCAAAATGCTGGTATCTGTACCACGAGGGCACACAGAAAGTGTCCCCCTTCTGCCATTCAAATTTCTCTTCCCCGATGATAGAGTAGCCATTACCTGTAACAACGTGGTAAACCGCGGATGTCGTCTCACGCCGCAGAGGTGAAGTACAGCCTGCATTCAGCCTCTCCGCACAGCCGCCCAGTACTCGGCTTACTATAGAAGACAGGTGCGTGTTAGAAGATATCTGCAGCAGTATCTATCAAGTACACTCACCTTCTCGATCCCCTGACCGTAGGTACCGTTTTGAAACCCAATCGCCCGAGGCAGCGTCCAATGCTGCCTTCATCACCTCCCAGGGGAAGACTATCGGGGACATATTGCTATCTACATCCTCCGCAGGGTAGCGTGACTCACTGAAATGCTCGACAAAGTGGACTGGGAAGTGGCGGAAATTCGGAAGATCTAGTCCATCCAACCAAATCATGGGCCCAGAGCCGTCCTTGCCATGGTCATGGTAGTTCCAGGTGGGAGTCAGGATCACATCGCCCCGTTGCATCTGAATACGCCGGCCGTGCACTGCAGTAAACCCGCCCGTGCCTTCGATAATAAAACGCATTGCAAACGCCGTGTGTCGGTGCGCTGGAGCTATCTCGTTCGGCATCACCAGTTGCAGTCCCGCATACAGAGTGTCTGTCGTATAAGGGGCATCTGATGCGATACTAAGCATGCAGAGCTTGTGTAGATCTTGAATGAAGCATAGTTACCTCTGGTTGGGTTGATCAGCATGAGCACCCGTCGTTCCGCCTGCTTTTCCGTGATCAGGTTCCCTGCGCGCAGGAGGTTTGGTCTGATGGCCTGGTATTTCCATAGGAATGGAACAGCCACTGGGTTTGGACTTGGAGGGTTCAGGCGGGTCATTTGGGTCCACAGGGGTAGTGTCTTGCTTCCTTCGAGGTCCCTGAGCAGGCTCTCTGCTGAGTCGCCATTCTTTCCTTTCTCGCTTCCGTGCGCCATATTGAGGTAGGTAATAATATTCTGAATTGAACAGGTGTTGACCGTAGCCACTTGGTGATCTGAAACCCTTCAGACTTCTGTGCCTATATATCAACCCCACTTGCTATTGAAATATGGCTCATAAGAGCGTCGGGGAGACATCGGAAACATCGGCATGTGCCCCTACCACATGGCATGTACCGGATCTATGTTAAAGGAGTGCTCGCTATGATTGTGGGAAAGGAATAATCGTCGTATTCACTGTCACCAATAGGAACAGAAAGGGGCCAGTATAGCCCATCCTTGACTATGCCTAGCTCGACGACACAGCTGTCCGCTCCTATGGTCAGTTTGCTTTCGCTGGCCGTGGAAGAGACAAACATGTTCTGATTATTGCTAGAGCACAACATATCCAAGCAACTGCCTACACTTTCTCAAACCATTGATGTTGGAGAATACCACTGCTCAAAGCACAACTTGCTTGAACATTATCGTCGTGGGCGCGGGTCTCGGAGGCTTAGCAACGGCCATAGCCCTCGCAACATATGGACATAAAGTGACGATCTACGAGCAAGCACCGGAGCTTGGAGAGGTACTCCTACCAGCCACTAACCCTGAGCTCAGTACACCCGGCTGATATTCTGTGTAGGTCGGTGCAGGAATCCAGATCCCTTCTAACTCGGCCCGTCTGCTTCTGAAGCTTGGAGTGGGACCGTACCTGGCGAAATGCGCATCTGAGCCAGAGAGCATATCGTTCCGCCGCTGGGAGAGCGGTGAGGTCATTGGCTTCACTAAACTGAAGCCTGATTTCCAAGAGACCTTCAATGCGCCGTACTACGTTGTTCACCGTGCCGATTTTCATTCTGCGCTAGTCCAGCGCGCGGTCGAGCTAGGTGTCGCACTCAAACTCGGTGAAAAGGTGATTGAGTATGACCCGTTGAAGCCGGGTATCCGCCTTGAACAGGGGATCCTTGTCACAGCGGACCTTGTTGTGGCAGCCGATGGTCAGTCTCCATACAGCCCCTCTGATGCTAACGATTCCTGACGGTGTGGAAATACAGGGATCAAGTCTATTGCTAGACCATTACTGGACGATCACTTAGACATGCCGCCTACAAATTTGGGGTTTGCTGCTTACCGCGCGACAGTGGACGTCAGTCTTCTCAAACAAGATCCCGATACAGCATGGCTGCTTGAGAAGCCAGCTCTAAACATATGGTTAGTCAAATAATTTAGTCTTCAGTAAGCCTTGCTGATATAGTGTCAACTCGTAGGATTGGTGATAAACGACACGTCATGACATACACAATTGGAGCAGGCAAGTCATTCAACATGGTCCTCTCTCATTGGGACCCAAGCGACCCAACAGCCTGGGACCAGAGTACTGCATTGCAGGATATGCGACGTGAGTTTGCAGGGTGGGATCCGCGGTATAGTGCCACATACCTAATTGAACTCCCGAAGATTGATTAACTAAGCCCGTTCAGCTTAACGAAGATTATCGGACTCATTACAAAGACGGCCAAGTGGCCGTTAGTGAGTAGCACTCCTCTCTCGCGTTGGACCTTAGGCAAGGTCGTCCTCCTAGGAGATGCCGCCCATGCAATGCTCCCATATATGTCGCAGGGTACGTACGAGGCACGAGTTTTGGTTCAAATTGTTTGTGATCTAACAGCTCACCAGGTGCTGCCATGGCGGTGGAGGATGGTGTAGCCCTCGCAAGAGCCTTGTCGAGGATTTCGTCCGGCACCACCCTTAGTGATGCCCTTGCAGTGTTTGAGAAAGTTCGTGCCAAAAGGACACGCCTAATGCAAGATGCGAGTCTGCTTAATGGACAGCTATGGCACTTCCCGGATGGACCCCTCCAGCAAGCTCGTGATGAGGCGATGAAGCCAGAGACACAGGGGCGGCCCTTTTCCCACAGCCCAAATCAGTGGAGCGATCCGGCGACGCAGATGTGGGCCTACGGGTATGATGCCGAAAAGGCGATAGATGAGGCGTTTCTGTGAGTATATAGGCTGGGCTAAGAACAAGTGCTTTGCGGTCTATCAATTGTATGCGGGACCCAGCGGCGTCGACAATCAATCAATATAGTTCTACCATGGTCATTGTTGGGTGTTTATAGATTGAATATAGCTCGGATACTCCAGAGAGCTAGATTGTAGTTACCCTTGAGTGTCCACTTGAACCAAGTAGTCCACATTCGCGAGATCTTTTGGACACGCAATCAAGTACGCCCTGCGAACCAATGACATCCTAGACTTGTGGAAGCTAAATGGAGGTTGGTTACGGCTCACCTGGAGCACTGACAGTGAGTGACAGGAACGGAAGTCCGATGTACCCCCGGAGCCGCTTAGTCACCGTCGCTTTGCCCTAAGTTAGGACATCTTGCTCTTCGCTCAGCTCCCGTCTCAAATGCTGGAGAAATGGCCATCTCGCAGATTGTTATTGGTACCAATATACTTGTATCCTTCATGGTTCATCTGTGCCGGCATTTAGGAAAGCTTGTCGTGAATATAAATAACATACTTCAACTTGCTCCGCCTCCCGTTACCAAAACATCAAGTTGGCTTTCTCTTTTCCATTTGTCCTCCTCTTTATTCTTCTCACCAACTATCAAGTGTCCTTGCGATGTCGTCGAACAACATCCAGCATTTCCCGGAGAAGCCTCAATTCTCGGGCTTCATGAAGCCCTGTCGGTTTGAAGGGGAGGCTCAGAATCTCGAAGTCTATGGCGACCTACCGCAGGACATCGATGGAGCTTTCTTTCGGGTGATGCCTGATCCCCAGGCCTTCCCGTTCGTTGAAGACGATCCAGTTTGTGATACGTACTTTGTGAAGATGTGTCCCAATTCTCACCATCAGCAGTGGTTCAACGGCGACGGCAATGTCAGTGCCTTCCGGATCAAGGATGGCAGAGTTTCCTGGCAGCAGCGGTTTGTGCGGACTGAGAAGTTCGTCCGGGAAAGAGAAGCAAAGAGGGCCCTCGTCGGTATTTGCACAATTTTAAAGGGCATTGGGGTGTCCAATGACAATATTTTGAGACATTTGACTGACACACTAAACAGGGAAGTACCGGAACAGGTTCACCGATGCCGTTCGCTTGAAGATCCGCAGCACAGCCAATACCAATGTCGTCTTCTTCAATGGACAATTGCTTGCCTTGAAGGAAGACTCCCCGCCATATGCAATGGACCCACATACATTGGACACCAAGGGTCTCTATGATTTTGAAGGGCAATTACCAAGTGTCACGTTCACAGCCCATCCAAAGTTTGATCCCAAGACAGGCGAAATGGTGTGTTTTGGATACGAGGCCAAGGGAGACGGCACTCCCGATATCTGCTACTATCAAGTTGGACCGGATGGGAAATTTTCTGATATCTGCTGGCTGGTGGCGCCTGTGTGCGCGATGATTCATGATTTTGCGGTCACTGAGAACTGGGTGCGTGGAATGCAAAAGAACTCTTGGGTTTGACAAAACTGACTTTGGTAATGTAGGTGCTGTTCCCACTTATCCCTCAACTCTGTGATATTGAGCGCATGAGGGCGGGAGGAGAGCACTGGCAGTGGAGCCCGGAGACTCCTCTCTATGTTGGAATTATACCTCGCCGGAACCCGAAGCCAGGCGATGTCAGGGTACTGGTACTCTCCGATTATAAAAAGAGTTCTTCGCTGATAAGGCTCACAGTGGCTCCAATGGGATAATTCTTTTCCAGGGCACACTCTCAATGCCTACGAAGATGAGAACGGTCACGTTGTGCTTGACCTTGGTCTGAGTCGTCAGAATGTCTTTTTCTGGTGGCCCGATGGGAAGGGATTTGCCCCGGAGCCCAGCACAATTGCGTCCCAACTGAGCCGATTCATCATTGATCCGCACTCAGACACCGACAGACTCCCAGAGCCCGAGATCCTCCATTCCGGCAACAGCGAATTCTACCGGGTCGATGATCGTCTGAGCACGCAGAAGCATCAACACTGCTTTTTTGATCTGATGGATCCATCTCTAGGGACTGATTTCCAGGCTATCGAGCCTCGGCTTGGTGGTGGCTACCCACTTTACAATGCCCTTGCACATCTCGATCTTCGGACGGGCGAGACGGAGGTATACTTCCCTGGAAGAAACCATTTGGTTCAAGAGCCTGTTTTCATTCCCAGGGCTGGGTCTGACACGGAGGGCGATGGCTATCTGCTGGCATTGATCAACAACTACGATTCTATGAGTAGTGAGCTGCATCTTCTGGATTTGAGGGACTTCAAGAAGGCTCGCTCGATCATTAAATTGCCAGTCCGGCTGCGCCAGGGTCTGCATGGTAACTGGGTTGATAGCGGTGACATGCTTGACTCATGAACTTTCCACTTCGATGCTGGCTTAGAGTAAACAGATCTCATTTCCCATGTGTACTCTCGTGTCTGCTCATCTTGTTAGGTCCATCACGCTGTTATATAATATCTTTTGAATCAGATATTTTACTTGGCTAGAGAATTACATTGTACGTTCATTTGGAGAATGTAAATATTCTGTTTGATTGGGAACTACTCCAGTTAATAGGGAATTCCCTGGTGTCTGGACACAACCCGTCTTAGCAGGATTTCTGCTCAGTAGCCATCCTGGTCTCACTTAAAAAGGCCATGCATCAGCCAAGGATCAAATAGAAGCTCTTTTGTGGTGGCTCTTTCTTTTGGTAGCTAACATAACATTCGTCGGAGAAAGCGTAGGAAGTCGGCCTTTTCATCCCCCTGGAGCCTTTTTTCCAGAGTTTCGAGGCTATAGTCTGGAACGGGAACTGCGCCTTTCTATTTACCTGAAATAGAAATCAAAAATTGTCAGTGCCAAGTTATATCTACATTTGTAGAATTATTTGTTGGAGGGCTGCGCATACCATTTTTATCCTAAAAGCGGAGACTCCGTTCGCTCCGAGCGAGCAATTTACGAGGGGCACCTCCTAAAATTGCTTGCATCTTGGCGAGATGATACTTATTATTCAGCTTACCTTTAGGATCTCGGGCTTTAAACAGGT